CTAACATCTCTACTACTACCTTCTCTAACATCTCTACTACTACCTTCTCTAACATCTCTACTACTACCTTCTCTAACATCTCTACTACTACCTTCCCTATGCTTCTTACGCCTCTCTAAGTCTAGGCTAATATCTTATTCCCCTTCTATTCTCTTAGAAGGAGAGATTAATTCTTTAAAGGAATGTAATAGCTCCTCGCTTATTCTACGACTATATGCGCTATTACTGCCATCCTTCTTATCGTAAAGGTTACTTAAAGATAGACGTAAGGTTCTAGCACTACCGTATTTATTATTACTATTAAGAGGCTTAAGACTAGACTTATTACTAGCACTAGATTAGAGAACATAGCGCTAGGAGTTAGCAGAGTTGTTAACTTATACGTAGCTACGGAACTAAGTATAAGGTTCCCTACCTATTACTTAGCTAGCCTTCGCCGCTTTAACAAACAGGGATCTTCTAGCTCTAAGATAGTTATTATAGAAGGGTGTGTTTATTTACGTGTTGCTAGTAGTTCCTCTATTGCGCTAATATCGCTAAAGTGTAATTTATCCTCCGCTAGTAATCTGTTTTAAATGACATTAATATAGCCTTCCTTATCTCTACTAGTACTGCTTACTCGAATAAATACCTCCTATATTATCCCTAGAAAAAGCGCGCGCTCTAGCTTTATTAAGATCGCTATGTTGTCTAGCATAGGGTCTATCGTTGCTAGCAGGCGCGCGGTAACCGTCCTCTGAATAACCAGACGCTCTATTGCTAGGCTTAACGCGCGTTGCAATGTAGTATTCTTTAGCCGCATTACTCTCTATAGTAAAAGAAAATTCTATTTCCTATTAGTAAAATTAATAATATAATCTACTTGCATGCTTACCTTAAATAATTCTACTAAGTAACCTAATTATAGTTAAATCCCCTTCTACGACGCGTGTAGGATAGTTAGGCTCTCCTTTGTTAAGCGGTTCTCTACTAAACTAATTATGCTCTGGATACTCTAATTTAGACGAGTTACGGAAACTAGCAAACGCGTCTCCTAGTTATGTGTTAGCTTGTAACGATTAGTAAAGAAAAAGACCACAGATAAGACCCATAACGAAAACAAAGTTCCAGAGCTAACATCTTATGACCCCTGTCCAGCCCCGATCTCCTTACTCTCAAACTTCTTCAATTTCTTCGTCCATTCATCCTTTTTAGCCGGCGTGATATCCTGACTTTAGAGTAAATGTCGCATCATCTTGACCAGAAAGGGCGGTATCAATTCCTTCGTTCCATCTGTATGAATGTAGCCCCCCGGAAGATCCTTGGATTTGATTTCTCTCTCGCAATCTCCTCCAATAGATCGTCCTTTGCTTGACGAAGCGCTTCGTCATTCTGGATAAGATGTTCCGTGGTACATTTAGGCGTTTTGCCTTTCGGGAAATTTTCAAAGAAATCCAAGCTTAATGCATAAGTAAGAGCATTCTGCATCTCCATTTCTTTCTCATCGAAAGAGCTTTCGGGCTTCCGTCTCTCTGCGTCTTCTTCTTCTTCTTCTTCTTCTTCTTCTTCTTCAGACTCGACCCATAACTTTGAAGGATTTGGGGCTTTAATCCCACGGAAAGCTTCTTCTGTGATGCGTTGTCTGAAAGCTTCGAGTGCCCGTGGACAGTGCTGCTCATGCTTGGTTATTAATCTTTCAACTTCGACTAAGGAATTTGCGAGCTTTTTCAATTTAAAAGTATATTCGGAGTCCCTGGTTTCGGTTTCGCCGGACTGGCCTGCTTCAAGAAGTGCTTCGTACTGATTTTCCGTGATATCTGCGAGCATTGCGATTCCCAGCGCAACACTTTGTATCCGGGGTTTTCGGGGTCTTTGGGGTTGTTGAAGTTGTTGAAGTTTTTATTATTGTCCGAAGGGCTCAGCTTCTCTAATTTGCATTTGAGTGACGAACTGCTTCGTCAAATTCCTTGTAATTCTTGTTCAGAAGCTGGGTCCATAGGCCGACCAAGTCGCGTTGAATTTCTTCCCACATTTTCGCCGTAAGTTCCATCACTTGCAGAATCGAGTCTAAGGCGGTAGAACTTTGTTTGTATAGACTTTTGTTTGGAATGTCTGTGGAAGGCGCAAGTGAGTTGTTGGGAAAAAATGGGGGATGAAGGCGCTTTTATACCACCGTTTGCTGACTCATACCGGTTAGTTGCCACGGAATCTGTGAGTCTTCTGGTGTATGACGCACTGGGTGACGGACCATAAACCGGGCAAGGTCCATGCCGTGAGCCGCCGCTCTGTGTCATCAGTATTACCACCACTTAGCATGACGAAACCAAAAACAATGTTCAGCATATGCAGCGCTCTATCTCCTGCTATTCAATGGTCTACTCTCCCCATCTTCATCCCCCTCCTCAATATCCTCTAGCTCAAACTCCCCCGCCCCTCGTATCCTCTCCTCCTCATCCTTCAACTTCCCGAACCCATTCGGCGCATCCGCCGGATTCGGATACGGCGTCGCGCACTTGCTGTTCCGCAGCGGCGGATAGTATCTCCTGTACGTATAGTATGCCACCAATATACCAAGCAGCGACCCCGTCGAAACATCATACACATCGTGTCGATAATCTTCGCAACGTGAAATCGCGATCAACGCAGCCCCAAGCAGCGGAGCGAGAGCGAGAAGAACGCGCGCGAGGTCCGTCCGGGGACGAAAGACGTGGCACTGCCCTGCTAAGAACAGCGCAAGGTAACCCAGCCCGCTGAAAGCGAAGCTGCTGTGTCCCGATGGGAAGCTCCTCCACCCATCATGCAGTATGTGGTGATCCTCCTCTGTGCAGACTTCGTAGGTGACGAGTTGATGGTCCGGCGTACCCGGCGCGGGCTTGCAGCGCGCAATGAGGTCAGGTCTTGGTCGCCCCACGGCGTTCTTCACCAAATCCGTGATGAAGAGCGTGAGGATGAGCGAGATGAACCAGCCGAGGATCGTGACGTGCGATTTGTGGGCTCCAGGTTGGAAGGCGAGGGCCCATGCTACCAGGACACCTAGAGGGACGGCGCCTGCGTAGATGAAGAGCCATGCTTCGTACACGTCAGCGGCTGGATTAGTGCAGATGGGACATTCTATACGTACAGACGGAGACGCGTTCCGAGTCTGCGTGCGGGTATTGTATCGCGAGGTTATCGAGGGAGAACATGCGGTGGAAGGGTTCGCCGTGGAATTGGATCTGTGCATATGAGCCAGCTGTCCTCAAGCCTCTGGAACAACTCAACGCACCACAATCCACCCGCTGACTAGAATTGCAAGGCCAACATAATCGGAGGCGTACGAGCGCTTGAAGGTATTGTTAGCTCGATATATCGAAGGGCACGCGACAGAAGACATACTTGCCAGAAGCGCGCTGCCGCTCCAATGAATCCTTGGGACTGCAGTAGACTGTTGTTGCGCCTGTGCGAGGTGTTTGCATGCGCAGGCATCTTGAATTACATCAACGCGAAAGCATTATGCTGAAAGAGGAGGATGAGGGCGTGAAAGGCCAATTTGTCGACGTGTGCTTTGGCCGTTTCGGAGGTGCCTCGTCTGCACTCCGCAGTGACGCGGCCGGGGTGATTGCGCTAGATCTACTTTCAGCTAGCGTGATTTACCATCCGACATCTAACGCAGCCCGCCTAGACGATGTACATAGTTCGTAGAGAATCGTATTCGATGGAGCCGTAGTCGATATTAATGAACCCTGAAATTACCAACATAAATTGCGCCATTTGCTTGTCCTTAGTAAGTCGAGACAAGCGTTCCTAGCCGGCCTCCGTCAACCACAATCACACTCCCATTCAGATAAGCACCTGCTCTCGAGGTAAGATACAGTATCGGCCTCGCAATATCTTCCTCGTTCCCCGGTCTTTCGGCTGGGATAAAAGAGGGTTCAAACACGCCGCCGTGTCCCGGACCAAGGTTCGCGATCGTCCCGCCTGCGAGATCAGACGGAAAGATACCAGGCGCAAGGACATTGCACCGAATCTTGTAAGGTACAAACGCGGTTGCCATCATTTTAATCATATGCATGACCGCCGCCTTGCTGCTGTTGTACGCGAAGGATGCGCCTTTCAACCGGCTGAAGCCGCCGATGCTGCTGGTGGCTACAATTTGACTTCGCCAATCTGGACCCATATTGCCCTTGTTGTTGCCGGCATCGAGAAGGTTGAGAAAGGCAAGAGCTATGTGGTTGACCGCTGTCGTGTTCACGGCATACGTTTGTGTGAAGTCTTCCATAGGCGCTTCCAACACATGGGCCTGGTACTACGATAGAGTAGGCAGCGTCTCGTTCGGCACTGTCTTCTGAGGTCTAGAACCCATGATACCCGCATTTGCGACAACCAGGTTAACGTAGCCAACCTCGGCCTCGACGCGCTCCGCCATTTCGAAATGAGAGTCTTTGGATGTCACGTCGCCAGGGAGTGGGACTACGACGTCTTGATCAATACTTCGGGCCGCTTCATGAAGAATATTTGCTTTGCGGCCGACGATATACACCCGGCGGGTGCCGTTCGGCGCGAGAGCTTTGGCAATCATGAGCCCGGTGCCTATACGCTTTTAGATGATATTCAGATGTATTCGAATCAGCGGTGAATACCAGTTCCACCTCCCGTGACCACTGCGACCAGACCATTGACGTTGAAGAGGGCCGAAGCTGCAACATTCGGTGAAGCCATGCTGTCGTGCCAAATCGAATGTCCAGCGATAAATGCATTATATTTAGGGTCATGATAGGCGTCGGCTCCGCATTTTCCGATGCGAGCACGGCTTTGGCATGCAAGCGGACGTGTGGCAGATTTGAGTGGAAAGAGGTGATCTCGTGTTCCCCTTTGCGTCATGGCTCTGTCCTGATCTGATGCAGCACAATTGACTAGTAATGCATCTCTTCGCCTGAACCTTGCGCGTCCTTCTCACTTCTTTACATCCGCGACACCCTTTTATAGCAAGCCAGCTTCAATCATCGTTATCGTCCTAAGCGTTCATCTTCGTGTACATCTCTTGGCCTATCTCTTTTGTATATTCTTCTCGCATGCACCTCACCATGGAGTTGGCGGCCCACACCCTCAGCGTTCCGCCATGCCTCCAATGACCGCCATCTCCGTATTGATCAGTACAAATAAAGAGCTAGTTGGGGTCAAGATGATGGAATCGAGAGCACTCAAACTTGGTTGAAAATAGCTGCCGAGAACTCTTCGCATCTCTCGCACGCTGTTGAGGTGCTTCTCAATGTTAGGGTCTAGGGCAATTGGTCATTGTCGAGAAAACTCCAAGGTTAAGCCAGCAATAGCAGCAGCTACAGGTGTCACCATCGACGTCCCTACCTTTCTCCTGTACCCTGGTCTTCCCACACCCTTTTCGCCCACTGGGTATGCCGACTGTACGTTTTCTCCCGCCGCCGTAAATCGATATTCATCTCCTCTAAAGGGTTGGTTGAAATCGTATGACTTGCCATCGCCGTTCCCAGAATCAATCGCAAATACATCATCTAATTTAGCTGGGAACACCATGCCGCGTAGCGCCCCTTTCATTCGGATACCTATATTGGGGCTTGACGCAAAAAGAAGGGTGCCGTTCTTTCTTGCATCTTCCAAGGTGTCGCGAAGTTCTTCGCTTTCCTCAAGGCCAAAACTCATGCTGATTATGTCCACATCCTTCTTCACGGCATCTTGAAAAGCCTTAATGGCATTCGATGGCTCGATGGGCTGCTTGCCACCCTCAACGATCCGATAGATATACACTTGGGCGTAGGGGCAGACCTGCAACACCAGCCAAGCAACATGGGACCCGTGGCTATCCAAATCTTGCCTCGGGTTCAGTGATCTCAGCTGCGCCCCGAACCTTATACGGTCTTCTGATTTTCGTATCAATTCAGGTACGTCGCCTGGTCTGGCAGAGACAAGCCCAGTATCGAAGATAGCGATCTTGACCTTGCGAGATGGTCATTTCCTAATTGAGTTCATACCCAAGCTCCGGGACTCCTCCACGTTTTCGTCCATGTACCTATTCAGGAGCGCATGGGAGTACGCTTTTAGGTCACGGAACCAGCTGTCGGTTTTCTCGAAAGTCTCTTCGAGGAGATTGGCCACCAACTCCGAGTCTCTAATAGCTTTCGGCAGCGCGGTAGAATCCTTAGAAGACTCAGCTCTCTGATCTTCCTCTACCGCGGCAAGATTCAGTGCTCTTGTTCCTACGGCGTTCATTTCGGTACATGCTCTCTCCGGTCGATCCTCGCTACGCTTCTCAGTTCTTTCTGGCCATGCTCCATGGGTTGTATAACTCATCCCGTCCTGTCTAAATTCCTTAGCGCGTTGCACAATTTTTGCTTCTGCTCCATTTCTAGGCTGCTCTGCTCCCTCAGTTTCTTCCACCTCTCGTCCTTAAGCTTTACGATTTTGCGCAATCCAAGCCCCTTAAATGTCCCCCCTTTTCCTTTTCCTTTTCCTGCTTTATCCTCTGTACCCTTCTTTTTATCTGCGTCTTCGACCATCTCTTGCTCCTGAGCGTGTCGATCTTCGGGCTCCTTTATAGCCCTCGCTCCTTCTACACGCCTGACCTCTTCCGCTTGTTTGGCCACATCCGTAAACTTAGCCGCCTCTCCTTATCTAGCCTTCTCATTCTCCTCAGCCTCCTTCGCAAGTTTCTCCGCTCTAGGTCGTCTTTGAGCCTCGTGCTCTTCTGCCCGCCGGGTTGATTGATCCCTTACCTCAGCGTCGCGCTGCGCCTCTTTCCTCGCCTGGGTTTCTCGTCCTTAGCTAGCGATGCAATTGTTACCTCTCGCAAGAGACGAATGAAATTCTGAAAGCATGTCTGCATAACCAAAGTGCGGTCCCGAGATGTTTGCGTGTCACTGCAACATCTCGACGTTTTCCGGAATTCAGACGTGGCGCGTTTGTACACTGACATAAGCATAAGCATGTTCCCCACAATAAAACTGACTTCGATGCTCTCTATGTCATATTGGCCAGTTTTATCAACCAAGTAGCTTGCCACCTCCAGCCTTTCGGTGTTAAATGGTTCAATAAGGCTCGTGGCCCACTTCGTTCGTTCTTGACAGATAGCCGAAAATGGTTTTTTCTAGGCAAATTCTGTCATCCAATAAAACTTCTTCTACGCATCATTCGCCTCAGAGTGCTGCTCGTTCTTCAGGTAGTCCACGGCAAGCCGTCTTTGAGCGTCGAGTGTTCGATCGTGGGTTTTTCCAAGCTTGGTCTTGTATCGCTTTATGGTCTCCGAATTGCACAGTATCGCCTTTTCGTAGTTGCCTCCGCAGCTCAAAGCTACCGCCCAATGATCTCGCATCATGAGAGTCTGCTCATCATTGGGACCATATAGGCGCAGCGCCTCTGCTAACCAAACCACTTACTCGTACAGATCCGCTGCTTTTTCGTAGTATCCTTTGGCTACAGAGACCACTGCTGATTCATCTACTGCCAATTTTAATTCTTAAGCCTATATAAAAAGAGCTTCGATTGGTTCCGCTTCCTCTGGTTCACGGCTTGGAGCCATGAGGAGCGCTTGGCCGATCCTCGCGAGTGGTGAGCTCGTCGATTCCGGGTGGATGACACGGTTTGATGCAGATGGTCTCGGAGGATTGGTGATCTCGCGATGCAAACAGTCCCCGTCACAGTGACAGGCAATGATATGTCTTCCAGCCCGGATGTGCCGCAAGGTTCTTCATGGTATTTAGGCGTCCTGGTGGTGCTCACGATGGGGTTCAGGGGCTGAAACCCTCCAGCTGCACTATCAGTTGGGAGCTCCCAGCCCCTGCCTCGTCACGCTATAGGGTTACTACCGCTGTCGATCTCCCACGACCTGAACAAACTAACCACAGTATGCTTCCAGGATTTCTCTATGCCTGCGTTGTTCCCGAGGTCATTGCGCCTCGATCGCGATAGGTGACGTAGCCTGCCAACCAAGCGACTCGGCACATCTATGAAGGAGATGCTCGCAGCGCAGACAGTATCGTCTGGTTAGCGATAGGCGCCCTTTGAGGTGAGATCGACTTCCCGCCAAACTTATGTCGACTCACTTTGCTGCTCAATCGGTAGGCTTTTCGCGGCTCTTTCCGTCCTATATTCAGCTGTCAGAATCCTGGTCCTCCACGCATATCTCAGACGCAGTCCGCTTTCCCTAACCCAGTTCAGCCTTACCACGCTCTCCAACTCATCTATATCGAGTATATATACTATTGATCCGATACCTAGACAACCAAAAATATTGGTATCCGCGCCCATAACCGACACCAACTCAGCCTCATCTTTACATCACACCAACTATGTCTCAAAAACCCACTTACTAACTCGCTCAACCATACTCCTGCCCTCCTCCTAGCCCTATTTGCCTAAGCGCCATAATCGCCAGTCCCATGCAACCGGACGAACCAAGCTACGTCGCTGCAATCCCACCACCAAGCTCCCCTTCAGACCCCAATCCGAACGGCACCACTGTATTCCACGATCAAAAAGTTGAAAGCCTTCCACACCAAGAAAACCTCGTACGAATTCCGCATATGGACGGGCTTCTTGCAAATGGTCAGGGTCGGCGCCGACGTGGGCATGGGTGTAGAAAGGGGAAAGGGGAAAGGCCGTCAAGCTAGGCTGGGAGGTCGAGGAGATGCGGACAAAGAGCTTCGTGCATTCGATGCAGTGGCTTGAGGATGTAGTCAAGATCCTACTTGTGAAGGAGCGGAGGAAGATTTTCGTGATTACGGGGACGGCTACTACTACGACCTCGTTTCGTCAGGTGTTCTCTCAAAGGGGTTTGAATTTGGGTGTTGGGGTCGACGCAACTGCTTTTACAGGCGTGCCAATCTCTGCGGGGCCGGAGGTGGGCAGGAAGACGGAGGAAAGGGTGAGTGACGGGGAGACTGCTTTTGCGTTTCAGGTTAGGGAGGTGTGGGTGAGGAGGAAAGAGGGTGTTAGGAAACATAGTGTTATTACTAAATCGGCTCTTTTCAGCCAAGAGAGGAACGAAGTGGAAGTTGAAGGGTTGAGCGAAGATTTGGGCGGGAAGGAGTTTGATCTCCAGACCACGGTTGTTGAGCAGGCGATTGGGGAAGACGATGATGACGAAGGCGTGGAGGATGTGGTCTGTGTGATGCCAAATGACGTTTGGTTGGACGATACACCTTTGTGAGATACTGACGGAAGCTCGCTAGATGATATCAGTGTAGCGTTGTGGGATGGGGTCTGCGCTTAGAATACAAACATCCCACCAACCGCGAGGAGCAAAGAAACCAGACCACCCGGTGCCCCCACAACCTCAGCAACTCCAGTACTAGCAGACGTCCTTGCGCTTCCCGTCGCACTCCCAGTCATGCTTCCCGTCGTCTGCAGACTTTCGCTTCTCGTTGAAGTCGGCGAACTCGTACCACTGCTAGTCGAGTCCGCGAATTCATCAGGAGAAGCTATCCACGTGCCCGAAGCATTCCTGAAGTGGATCTCGCTATCGTTACTATACCGAAACTGGGGTTTTGACTCGTCGTCTGTGACGAGTTCGATGTTCGGGAATGTCTCGTTGGTTATGCGGGAACCCGTCAAGCTGAGTTCCATGGTGCTGTCACCTTGTGTGGTCTTGATGCTTCCGGAAGCAGTCACGTTGTTGAACGTAATTGTATAGCTCCATGATGTAGTTTCATTCCTATAATCGAATCAGTCAATCCATTTCAGAATAAGAGGTATCCATGAAGCCTAGACTCCGAGAATTGAAAGCTTACCAAACCCAGCCCCTCCAACTATTCGAGCTATGTCCATCCTGATAGCAGCTTGATACGACATCGACCCCATTTACCGTAGCTCTCAACGTCTCATTCTTCATGTAGGTCGCCTCGTCCCCAGTAATTTCATACCCCTGTCCACCTTCTAGATCCACCCTTTTCAAACTAGCCTTCTTCAAATCCAGCATGATCTCAGGTTCCCACACGGGATTATACTGCAGCGCTCCGCATGGCTCACTAGACCGACCCCAGCACGCATAAGCTGAGCTCGCAAACTCCAAATTGAAGATGTCGTCATCGGTGAAAGTGACGAAGCGGGATACCTCATAGTCGCTGGTAAGGTGGTAAATCTCGAAGTAGAAGGGATTGGTGTCCCATTCCGGGTTAACACCGACGTAGATGTAAGCGTTTACTAAAGGTTCGATGGTTTTAGATTCGCAGGTATCGGTTGGGTTTGCGTAGGTTACGCTGCCGGAGACGGTGCCGTTGAAGCCAAGGTATTGGACGCCGCTGTACTCCTCCGCATTGCGCGTGAGGGATGCGAAGGCGGCAGGTGAGGATACGATTGCGATTGCGCATCTCAAAAGCGTCGATCTCAGAGATGGCATTTTGTTAAATGACGTGAAGAGTTCTCGAAGGGGCGACGATGGAGACTGCTACATCTCGCAACGAGGCTGCCATGTGTGGCATTTATGTGTACCGTCATACGATGTATCGTCATCGGATGTTTTGTTGAAAACGGCTATTGCTGTAGGATCGTTGGAAATTTGGTGGTTAGATCTTGAAGTTTATCTCGTATTTCGCGGCCTAGATTCCTCTTCAAGCCTCGTCGTTGCTATCTGCGGTAGGAATACGAGCGAAATTTCGCAGCCTTACGCATCCCTTGATCATGCCCTCTTCACTGTGAGATGGCACTCGGAATGTGGAGATGAGATCGGAAATCAAATATTCCGTAGGTCGAGAAGTACAAGACGGGCATGGCATGGCCGTCATTTCCTTCGTGACTTAGGACACTACCCTGTTTGGGGATTAGTTTTCTTCAGCAAGGTCCAAACCTTTTCTTCACCTCCATCGTCGTACTAAGTCATCTATCCCCTAATTCCTCGGAGTATCGCGCTTCCCTCGGATCACCGCGCTTGTGGCAAATCGTTGCTATTCGGAGATTGACGGCACAATGGATGTACCTCGATAACGCCGGCGGCATCGAGTCATG